AAGAGAGAGAGAGAGAGAGAGAGAGAGAGAGAGAGAGAGAGAGAGACTAAAACTCTCTCTAATTTACCTTTTAAAGATGAACACCCCCAGAGCTCCGCGCGGCCCCCATCCTGGGCATTAATCACAGCCAGCAAGGCCTCCCTCCCCCTTCCTCTTCCTCCTCCTTCATCCACTACCTTCCTTTTCCTCATTTTCCTTCTGTCTCCTTCTTCCTCAGTTGCCCTTACTCTTCTTCCTCATCTTACTTCTTTTATCTCTTCCTTTCTCCCTATTTCTCCTTCCTCCCACCTCCCTCTTTCTCTCCCCTCCCTTTCTCCCTCAACAACTTCTCACTGTCAGCCATACATCGACCAGTTAGTCACCAATATTTGTTTCACTTATTGTTATCTCTTCTTTATCTTCTTGTGTCTCCCACTCACTTTGTTTCGCCGCCGATACGGAATATGAGAGAGAGAGAGAGAGAGAGAGAGAGAGAGAGAGAGTATTTTTTAAAATCAAAGTCACCCATTCATCAAACATCACCAATAGACCCATAATGCTCTTAATTGCCTTTGAGGTAAGTCTAAGTGGCCCGCGTCCACACACTGGCCAGGTACACGGGCGTCCACACACTGGCCAGGTACACGGGCGTCCACACACTGGCCAGGTACACGGGCGTCCACACTCTGGCCAGGTACACGGGCGTCCACACACTGGCCAGGTACACGGGCGTCCACACACTGGTCCACACTCTGGCCAGGTACACGGGCGTCCACACAGGCCAGGTACACACACACTGGCCAGGTACACGGGCGGCCACACACCGGCCAGGCACACGGGCGGTACACGGGCGGCCACACACTGGCCAGGTACACGGGCGGCCACACACTGGCCAGGTACACGGGCGGCCACACACTGGCCAGGTACACGGGCGTCCACACACTGGCCAGGTACACGCTCCCATCTGCATAATCCGACGCCGCGAACACCGTGTTTGTGAGCCAACATGAACGTAAACAAAGGGAATCCGAGCAGCAAGAGGATCTAGTAAGAGCGAGTCTATCACGGTTCTTACCTGTACTGAGACTGACACGGTTATGGTAGCTACGACAGGCGAACGTTCGCTCGCCTTCTGCTCGTATTGATGTTCGCTCATGGTACAAACCCCTCATACCGACAAAAACAGTCTGGCGTACCTCTCCTACCTGCTGTGGCACGCTTATGGCAGAAACGACAAGAATGAAGTCAAGACACCCACAGTGACTGAGGCGGTGCTTCTTATGGTATGACTGCCACTGTTATGAGGTAATATCAGAGGTTGGCACGAGGCCTTAAAACCCTCTGAAGAATACCACTGTTTGTGTTTTGTTATGATAATAAAAAAGAACACCTTCAGTTTACAGTTTAAACCTGGGCTACTTATAGAAAAGTAAAATTTCTGTAAAACTCAATACTCCTTCAACATAACTGTAATTTAATATTTATCAGATTTATTCTTAAAATAACTTCAAAGTTTACTTAAATTCCTGGAGATGTAATATTCATAAAAAACGAGATAATCTGATGAGAAAATAAGGAAAAGGAAAAATTAAAGTATTTATGGACTAAAATTAAGGTTAGATAAACGTGCACACAAGAATAACAGTATCAATTCTCAACACCCAGAAGCCACCACAGACAACATCCTTGAGGGTCACTCAGGCTCGTAGTCTCTTGTCCGTCGCTTAATTGAACAAACGTTTTGAATTTGCCTTTGACTATTCCATTTACCTGAGCGTCACTTAATGCGATCATCGAGTGTTGGACCCAGCCAAGCCCTGTTGATTATCCCTCCGGTCTCACCCACACCCGCGCCTCAATTACGGTCCGCCGGGTAAGAGGCGCCCCGCCCCATCCCGACCTGACCAGCTGCGGACCGAACCACCCCTCCTCCTCACTCCTAACCACCCTGCACTGTCTACCCACATCTTAAACAGAACCTCGATACACACTCTGACCAACCCCGAACTGTACTTTACTGGCCAGAGCCCCGGCCCGCTATACACCGTCCGTCTGCAAGTAACCACCACCACAAAGGCCCTCCTATGGTGAGTGAGAATATGGGACACACAAGTCAACATACTCTGCCTCCCTTCCTCTGTAATACTAAGCATATAGGACTTTTATAAATTATTAAGGTGACAGTTAAACTATTTACGATTACACAGTCTTTACAAGAAACACTATTTAACGTCTTGTGTGGTGTGTGACGAAACAAAGTAAGAAAGGAGGAGAGAGAAGAAGGAATGCAGTGGGAACAGGTAAGAGGTGTTCACGCCCTTGGAATGTCTTATAGAAGTCCGACCGCCTGACTTACGCGTCCCGAGTTAGAGAATCGTATCATTCTCATCTCGCTTCTTTCTCCATCTTCCCGTGTGTCTGACTCAGAGATAAAGAAAAACACCAATAATTAACCTAATAAGACACCAGATGAGTTGGTGAGCTGGTGTACAATATGACGACGGGTACAATACTATTCCCCGAACGGACGATGATCACTCGACAAAACCACAACACATGGCCGCGCGTGCGCAGTGTTGCCACGTGATGGTCGGTGGGTTTAAGGTGGGCGGTGAAGCGCTTCATGAATGGCAAGCAGAGTGATGGTTGAGGGTTAATCCCTTACTCCACGGGTTATGATTTAGCTGTGGTTGGGTATGAGGATGGCGGCAGTGACTGTTGTGGTGGAGTCACTAGAACGATCATCATCATACACAGCTGGGTGCAGAGATATGTGCACACACCTAGGAACTAAAACATGTTTCATGATGATGTTGAGACTGATTAGTGTAGTACTAAACTCATTGTTGAGCCTAGAAGCTGTAAGGCCATATAAATAAATAATAACACCACACGCAGTGAAGCATCTGATACTGTATCATAACATTAAGTTAACTTACATTTTACAAGTCTAAATGGCAAGAAGACGGAGGTGTACTGTATATAGTCGAGATTAAAAAAAAACATGGAGGGAGGCAATTAATTTAAAGAGGAAAGTGGGAGTGAAAGCTGGCAGAGGAAAATATACCAGGGGGAAATTAATATTGAAACAATGTAGGGACAATTTTAGAGGCCCGGGGCACTCCAGAAGGAGGAAAATAACAGTAAGCAGAGAAGTTGTGGGGATGAAATAAGAAGAAAGGCTGGCAAGGTTAACCAAAATGTCTGTCGGCATATGTTAATGCAGAAAGCAAAAAGTTAGAACACCAGAAACTATCAAGCGCAAAGTGAGATTACGACGAGTACGAAGTAATCTACAATCACATGATGAGCACAGTCCATCACACTGGTACTAAAGTTACTTACAGGCTTCTAAATTTTCAGCTTCAATAGTCATCGCCTTGACCGATTTCTCTGACTCGCCGAAATAATTTTCTCCCGCGCCACCGGCCGTTTGTATCTCTGGATCTTTACTGCACCCCTATCACGCGCGACCCTCCTTGCTCAGTGACGCAGCCTATGATCAGTTCTTGGTAAAATCTTGTTTTATTCCATGATCTCAAACGTGACCTGTACAGGTTATGGCAGTGTAAGTAAATAAAGACTTCTCCAAAAGTTGAACGAAGTTTTTTGTAAGCAAAAGTGGAGGAATTAAAAGAAAATAATGGCTAATTTGGTTAATTTCTTTTTTAGAAGCAGAGAAAAAAGATAATGATATCATCTTGGGTCAACTTTATTGGCCTTTAAGGCTTGCATTAGCAATCAGCAACACCTGGCATTAGTTTCTACCCCTCAATAATGGCCATAGACACTATTTTAACGCATGCTTATTCGCCTTCTGCCTGCAGTGGCGTTCAATTATAATACGAGCACAAACATTGGGATACAAGCGACCAAGAGAGAGACTGGATTGTGCAGGAAGAGGATTGTCTGGGTCAAAGATCATTTTTTTCAGACATGCAGCCAAAGAGATTTGCCATTTCTTGGGGTGTAGTTACAGTGGTGGGGTCAGGCGGAGTACGGGGCAGGAATGTTAAGGGTTTGGGAGAGTCGTACTGAAATGATTTTGTTGAAGACCGAAAAAAAAATGTTTTTATTGTGTCAAACGATATTATTACTATTATTATTATTAGTAGTAGTAGTAGTAATATCATTATTATTATTTTTTATAATTTCTTAAATCGATCAGTTTTTCACAGGAGAGTTTTGTGGCCGAGACAAACAATTCCATACAACTGAACTACACCATTGAACTTTTGTACACACACATATAACTTGTATACACTATCTCCAAAAAGTACCTTTACAATGGGGTCCGATGAAATTCAAAAAGAACACCGCGACTTCCGTTGTGTCAAAAGAGTTGTCATAATCCTTCGTCTGTTGTATCATAATTATTGTCTCACATGAACTCGTTTAAAATACTGTTTAGTGGGAGAGCGCACACACACACACACACTCTCTCTCTCTCTCTCTCTCTCTCTCTAAAATTCTCCAATAAACGTAGTCAAGAGAGAGAGAGAGAGAGAGAGAGAGAGAGAGAGAGAGGAAACATCGCCAAAAATGCTTTGTCATTTGTGAAGTAATTAATCCACAGGGGAATTAATTGGTCTATTATTTAACCACCTACGAAATATTTCAATATGGGGGGGTCTTATCTACCTGAGAATACGTCACCTTAGCTTTATGTGTGTTGGCTTAGCTTGGTAACATTAGCTTGTGTTGGGTTAACTTAAGGTAGTGTTAAGTTACCTTGGGTTTGGTTAACTTAAGGTTGTATTAACTTGGGTTAGGTTAAGTTAAGATTGGGCTAAGTTAGCTTTGGTTGGGTTAACTTAGCTTTGGTTGGGGTTAAGTTAGCTTGAGTTGGTTAATTTAGAGTGAACTTAAATTAGCATAGGTTGGTTAACTAGGCTTAAGTTAGCTCAAATTAGTTAGGTTAGATTGTGTTAGTTAACCTCACTTAAAGATACCTTATGTTAATTTACCACAGGTTTAACTTGAAACAGGTGGTATCTATATCAGGTTTGGGTTACACTTACCAGGTATATCCTTTGACGTGCTTCCTCCTGATCTGGAAGTAAAGAAGCTGTGTTAGATAGTTACTTTATTGTTCTGAGAGAGAGAGAGAGAGAGAGAGAGAGAGAGAGAGAGAGAGAGAGTTAATAGCCACAGTTACTATTCAACGATCAGTATCAATAAACGACAGGTATTAAATTTACAACATGGCAGGTATTGATTAACGACAGACGGCAATAACGACAGATATTTTATTTTACGATAGCCATTGATTAACGACAGGTATTTACTAAAAATAGGTACTGTTAAATGATAGGTATGTTTATATCAACGGCAGGTATCGACTAACGACAGGTATTAATTAACGATAGGTACCAGAAAGTGGTTTTCACCAATTAAAGACAGATGTTCAACGACAATTGATACTTAATGTCAAATGCTGTTCAACAATTGTCAGAGTTCAATGAAAATGTCAACATGAGCTTGTGCTAAATAATAGGTAATGGTTAACGGCAGATAGTGCTTAACGACAGGAATACTTTACAATTTGCTGGTGCTTAACCAAAGCTAATGAATAATGGTAGCCAATGTTCACCGACAGCTAATGTTTAAGGACAGTTGGCGGTTAATCACAGTTAATGCTTAAAACAACCGGTGCTTAACGACAGCCGATACTTAACGAAGGCTGGTAGTCAACGAAACTTCCACTGGGTATTGGAGGTGGGAGCTTCGTCTAACTCCAATATTTACTCTGTGACTGGCCGGGGTCAGTGTACCCGTTATAACGGACTCAACTGATGCCTGAGACACCGTAATTCAAATACAACTTTAAATTCAAAGCCACTTCAACGGTCATAACAGTTCAGTTGGCAGTTTACGTGACCCAACTTAAATATATTTGACTTCCGAACGTTCATTAACAAAAAAAAATCCTTGTTAAGTTACTGTTTCATATGACACTTGAATGACCAATTATCATAAATTCTCTTACAAAAATTGACTTGGAAACATAAAGAAGGATATATTTTTATCATTGCTCGTTCTTGTGTGTGTGTTTTTGTTTTTACCTTTCTCTTACACAGCTTTCATTACTTTACCCACTTTTAGTACAAGTTTGTGTACTCCTTGATCCACCCCTACACGAATGTGGGAGAGAAGAAATAATAACAGACAGACAGATAGAGATAGAGAGATATAGACACAGACAGACAGAGAGACAGACAGACAGAGAGAGACAGACACAGATAGATATACATAGATAGATATAGTATTATTATTAAGCTTATATAAGTCCTTTTTAATTTCTTTTTTTTGTTTACTGGTAAAGGGAATCATCGTAGAGTACCGCAATAATCATTACTTTTACTGTACAAGATGTTATAATTTTTATTTTTCATGTTTGTTTTCGTGTCTTTCGGTCGTAAGAGCACTGCGAGACAAACTAATGGAGTATTTAGTGAAGGAAACGTAGTGTTTAAGGCACTAACATTCGTTCACTTTAGAGGTTTCCTTCCGCTCTTTACGTTCACTCGTTCACATTACGCCGATACAAAAACCTAATACATGATCACACTTTACAGTACATTGAGTGAATTTATAAATGGTGTGGTAAAATAAATCTACACTTTAACATATTTCAGATGGGGACAGTATAGTATTGGACAGACATCACCAACACCACCTCCACCGCCACCATTACCACCGCCACCATCACCACCAGGTTAAGTTAGGTTAGCGTTAAGGTGAAATAAACTGGAATGCCGAATCTTGACGTGATCCTTTATTTTGTTCCTTGTATGAAATTATCTCCCGAGTCCGATGTACAGTACAGGCCAAGTCCTCCAACGCAGTCTTTACTTTACTTTACTTCCTGGAAAGATTCAAGATATTTCTGAAAGCACAACAACCTCCATCTGCTCCTCGAACAATGTATTGAACTTTCTTCTCGAGCACAAAGTATTAAAGTTATATTCAGCAAAGTAATAAAGGTATAGAAGTACAAAGTCCACCACTGATCTTGGGTAAAATTCACCACTAACTCCCAGGAGTCGTATCAGACCTTCCACCCATCTCCTTGAACAATTACCTGGAAGTCTTTTTAAAGTCCCACTGGGTCGCCGGTCAGTGATTTGATTCTCCCTCCCTACACAACCACCTACTTTAAGATCATTGCCCCCAAAAGAGTCTTAACCCATGCGGAAGACGAGCCAGCGTTCGTCTCACGGAACTTCCATATATGTGCTTTAAAGATATTGCTGTTTTTTTGTTTATGTTGCTGTTTCTGTCAGTCTCTCTTGGCTGAACACTACCATAAAAGCATCACCTCACAATAGGATCAATAATTCCTACTCTCACCTGTCTATATAGCTCTCAAGATCCTGTGTATACCGACTCTATACCTCACCTGAATAAATAGTTTACCGCAATGGTGTCTAGATTAACTCGACACGATCTACAATATATCCGATTCTTAACCGCAGAAAACTCTCGTTATTGACTAAATAGCTAATCCTAGTTTATGTAATGATTAAATAGCTCACCAATAGCTCATCAAGTTATTGTCCAGATACCTCAACCGTCTCCTCTACCTGTGGACCAAACACCTCAGCATAACCTTCATGCTGGCAGGGACCAATTGAATACAGGCGAGGCTAAGTTTTGCGGTAACGGTGGTTCGCTGTTGACAAAAGCAGCGCCTCATTAATCAAGGTGTTTTGTAGGTGTCCAGAGCGCCACCACCACCACCACCGCTACTACCACCACCACTGCTGCTACCACCATTACCACCACAACTATGACCACCACCACCACAACCACAAAACCATCATCACCAACACCAAAATTACCACCACCACCACCACAAAAGCCACTGTTACCATAATCGATGTTATCCATTATATTAACATCACCCAGGGAACAAGTCCAGCCATCGACCCAGACTACTCGTCCCACCCCACCACCACCACAACTACCACCACCACATAACCATCACTACAACTACCACCACACAACCATCCCTACAACTACCACCACCACACAACCATCCCTACAACTACCACCACCACAACTACCACCACCACATAACCATCACTACAACTACCACCACACAACCATCCCTACAACTACCACCACCACCACAACTACCACCACCACACAACCATCCCTACAACTACCACCACCACAACTACCACTATCACAACCACATAACCATCACCACTAAAATAGTCACACCCCACCATACAATGAATGGTAACTGTCACTTAAGAACCAGTCACCGGCATTTAGGTTATTAACAAGTCGAAAATATCTTAATGACCATCAGGCAAACAAGGGTAGTTACGTTGATAAACACTAACTACCGAACCACCACCATACTGACACTAGTAATTATCTCTTATACTAGTAACTCCCAAACACAAAAGACTAATTAAACCTAAATAATTAATAACCAACAAACAATTAGCAATAATTGTACCCTAACAAGTTAGTTCTCTCGTTAGCCATCACTAACAACCACACACACAACCACAGGGAGTTATAACAACCCAAATAAAAAACCAATAATTCAACAATATAAATTACCGGTCGTAACAACCCAGAATCTCGAAACTAGCCTCCAACAATCTCAAACTGCCTCTTAACTACTAAAATATTACCACTCGTAAATGATTCACTAATGACTTAATTGATACTATTAGCCATAATTACTGTATTTCCATATTTCTCAGTTTTATCATTCGCTTTTGGTGTTAAAGGCACACACCCGAGTCATGTTTTTATTCAACATTTGTGAGATTGTCTGTCAGTCCCCGCCTCTACTGTTATCAATGAGTGTGCGCGCATGTGTGTGTGTGTGTGTGTGTGTGTGTGAGAGAGAATTTACTAAAACTAATACACATTTATGATCGACTTATCATCATCACCAAAATTATTACCATTAACACCATCACCACCACCATTACCATTTATCATCACACCACCGTTAACACCATTACCATCCTCACTACCATACCCCCTAACCATCGAGCCCTATATATTCCCATACCTACAATACCATTATCATCTCAATTATCATCATTATTCACAGCGCCTCCAACAGTACCCCTTACACACACACACACACACACGGGGTCGGCATTTGGCTCTCGTTTCATTTATCACTTGTTGGAAGCACTAGTGGAATGAGAGAGAGAGGGAGAGAGAGGAGGGAGAGAGAGGAGGAGGAGAGAGGGGAGAGAGGAGAGAGGAGAGAGGAGGAGAGGAGGAGAGAGAGGAGGAGAGAGGAGGGAGAGGCGGGGGGAGGGTGGAAGGGGAAGATGAGGCGGAGAGAAAAACAGGAGATGGTGGTGTGAGGAGTGGAAGAGAGGGTGGGAGAAAGCAGACAGTGGAATGAGAGAGAGGAGCAGGGGTGGAGAGAGAGAGAGAGAGAGGAGGGGTGTTGGCCCTCTTCCTTTGGCTTTCAGTCGTCTACATATCTATCATGATAGACGTAGAGTGGTGGCAGGGTTGATGGTGGCAAGGATGATGGTGGCGGGATGGTGGTGGCAGGGATGATGGTGGCAGGATGGTGGTGGCAGGGATGGTGGTGGCAGGGATGGTGGTGGCAGGGATGGTGGTGGCAGGGATGGCTACAGCATGTTGTGGGAGTTTGTGATTGAACCTTGAGGCAATCCATTGTATGTATGTGTGTGTGTGTGTGTGTGTGTGTGTGGTAACCAAGTGGATACAAGGATTCACTCCCTATCCTAAGAGACGCTGGTTCACATGACTGTTGTTCCTGATTTACAGTTAGTGAAGTGCTGCTCATACTGCCTCCTTGTGTATCTAAGTTAATGATTATCACGTTAAAGGATAAATTGATAGCTCTATGACATGTTGTAAGAGAGAGAGAGAGAGAGAGAGAGAGAGAGAGAGAGAGAGAGAGATCAACACAAATATCGTCGTATACACAAAGTATTGAGTGAATTCTCGCACCTTCTTCCCTCCTCCTCCTTTTCCTGCCCCTACTCCCCCTCCCTACCACCCCCCTCCCCCCTGCTCCTCTCCCTCCCCTTC